TGGGGGGGGCCCCCTGCCGCGGGGTGGGGCCCGCCCCTGCCGAGACGGGTGGGGACCCAAGAGCCCTGCCGGGCACTAGTGGAAGGGCTAGTGGGTGTGCCTGCACAGGGCTAAGAGCCTATTCCTGATGCTGCCCAGAGATCTGTGCATGTTGGGAGCTGCTGCCCCCTCTGGTCCCAGCACCTGGCAGAGTCTGGTGCTGCCGGGGGTAACTCTGGCCATGGCGACACTCCAGGCTTAGGCTACCGCAGATTCGATTCGTATCCGTGCTGCCTTCCTCCCGTCAGGTCCGTGCACCCTTGCTGGGGGCTTCCACCAGCTTAAAGTGGGGCAGTGCAGGGGGCTGTCAGGCTGCCAGTTTCCTGCTCCCCATCACTGGGAGCCTGCCCCCCACAGCTCTCAGTTCCCTACCAGGATCACTGACCTGCCCCCATGCTCCCCACTGGGAACTCGGCACCTGGAGCTTCAGGGGCTTCCAGGCTCCTGATGGGGAGCCGGAGTCCAAGGCCCCCGGGGAGCCGTGAAATTGACAAGAATGACAGACAACCCCGTGGCGGCCGCACCTCGTGGAGGTGGCGTGGTCAGGCAGCAGAGCCAGGCCCTAGGAGCACTGGAATATGTAGCTTGACATCAACAGCAGCAGCACTGGGGTAGCAGGTCTAACCATGGAGCTCTGGGGAGGGGGGGTGCAGCCAGGAAGCTGCCCCTCCCCCATCTGCACTACGGTAACCTGACCACCAGCACTCCCCTCCTGCCATCACCCACCTGCCCTGTGCTGCCGTGTGCCATGAGGGGGCTCGGAGCCCAGCGCCCTGGTGAAGAAGCCACCTCTCTCCCTCTCCCCACTTCCTGCAGCAGGAGCCCCATGCCGTGCAAGGACGTGCTGGTGCCCACGCTGGTGATCTGGGGGGAGCAGGATGCACACCTGGATGCCGGGATGATCCCCTTCCTGGAGCAATACGTGCGCAAGCGCTGCCGCGTGGGGCGCATCCCTGAGGCCGGGCACTTCGTCCAGGAGGACCAGCCCCACAAGGTCAATCAGCTGATCTGGAGCTTCCTGCAGGAGAGTGACTGAGCGGTGCTGGTGCCAGGCCTGAGCCTCTCTACTGCCTGGGATGTGGCATGGCACATGGGCCTGATCCTGGCAAATAAGCCCGGGACTCTCTACTGGGCCATACCCCGCCTTGGCTCATATCTCCACACTGATTGGTCTTGTCTGGGGTACCATCCCCCAGGCCCAATCTGAGCCTCCTCCACGGCTCTGCAGAGAGGAGCCCTGAGCGCACAGGTCTATAGGGGTTCATGACACCTGAGTGGGGGCTGTGGTAGGCAGGAGCCTCTGCCCAGCCCCACTCCCATTACTATTCCTGGCATCAGGATTGGGCCTGCTGGGCTTGACTGGAGTGTGCAGACCATAGTCCCATTACCAAAGATGCTGCGGGGGGCACTGCAGTTTCGGGCTCCTTGAAATTCATGTGACCTGTAAAATGGTAGTGCTGGAGATGGGAGAAGTGCCAAGTAGAGTATGCCTCAGAACGTAGCCCCTGAATCACCTTAACTCTGCCCTATGGTGATGCCTGGAGAGAGGCAGAATCTCCGCCTCCCTTCTCCAATCAGGAACTTCCGTTAGTGCCCTTGCACCTGGCAAGCCTTAAGCACCACTGCTGTGCACATGCTGATGGTCTGTTATGCCCAGAAGAGGAGCTGGCTGCTGCCTGTTTTGGGGCAGAGTGAAGGTGATTTGAGAGGCCTGGCTTGGGGAAGCATAACAGGAATACTGCATGTCCTGGGATCTCACACTAGGTCCTCAGCTCTGTCGTTCCTGGCAGGTGGGAGCCCAGCTCCACTGCAGTGCTGGGCGGTGCGGGGGGGCTCAGCACTGAAAGGGTGACTTGGGGCAAGCCGTTGTTCTCTGCCATGGGTTCCCCACTGGCTGTTCTCCCGACCCCTGTGCTCTGCTGGCCATATGCTCAGGGAGCCTTGCTGCCAGTGCCTCTGGGGCCCTCGGCTTGTCAGAGCGATGGCTCTGGGGGGGAAATGCTGCCTTATGGTCTGTGCCCTGAGAGCATTTAATAAACGACATTTGGGACAGGAGCCACCCCGGTGTGGGGCCATTCACCAGCCAGCCGCAGAGGCAGCCTGGGCCATGGGGCTTGGCACGCCGGGAAGCCTCCCAGGAACTGTCAAGGATCTGTGTTCACTAGGGAGCTAGGACTGCCCCGCCATGGCTCTGCCCCCGCCCCAGGCTGCCCCTGCTGGCATAGAGGCTGCAGGTCCCAGCAGGGGTGGCCCATGCCCAGGGGCTGTGGATGTTTCTGGGAGCTGGGGCTGGCTGGCTGACTTTTTCTCCTATGTAGCTGTGGGGGCAGGAGCCTGCAGCGGGGGAGGGGACTGGCTCTTGCTGCCCCAGAGCTCTCCTGCCCCCAGGTCCTGGGCTGCCTGGATTGTGGGAGCAGGGGGATGAGGAAAGGTTCCTTAGCCCTAGTGTGCAGAGAGGGGAAGGGACTCACCAAGGCCACCCATAGTCTGTGGCAGAATGAGGCCAGGTGGTCTGAGGCCCAGCATCTGAACCACAGACCAGTCCAGTGAGCAGGGCCTGGCCTCCCCTCGCCCCAGCATGGTCACGCTGCTCTGCCCCAGCCCAGCTCCCCTGCTGCTGGGAGCTCCTTTCCCATCACACCCAAAACTAACAGCCCCCTTCCCCCCCAAAGGGGCAGTGTTGGTGTTGGCGGGGGCTAGGCTAGAACTAGGGCACCAAGCTCCCCAGCCAGATCCCTCCCCGGGACAGCTTTCGATGCCTTCTCTGCCGCCTTCCATTGCTAGCGGGAATGGCTGCTGGTTGCTGATAGCACAGGTCAGGCACAGCCGGGGCAGCTGGCTCTGGAGTACCCAGCGCCCAAAGCAGCTGTGCTCTCTGGATTCAGTTCCGTGCTCCACCAGGTGCTCATCAGTGCTGTGCGAGAGGCCGTCTGCTCCCAGGTGGGCTTGGGGTCCAGCCCCACACAGAGATCTTGGGGTGGGCTTGGGATCAGCGAGCTGAGCCCTGCCTGCTGGGGGCCTGTGGCGGTGTGTTCACAGAAGACCTCTGGGGACTGCTTCCTGGTGGTCTGGTAAAGCCCCTGATGCTCACCACCTTGCTCTCTGGGGCTTCTTTATAAATCCACGCTATGCCCATGGCTTGAACGCTGTGTACAGGTGTGGTCGCCACATCTCAAAAAAGATCTCTTGGGATTTGAAAAGGGCAACCAAAATGATTAGAGAATTGGAATGGGTCCCTTATGAAGAGAGATTAAAAAGACTTGGATTTTTCAGCTTAGAAAAGAAGAGACTAATGGGGGATATGATAGAGGTCAATAAGATCATGACTGGTGTGGAAAAAGTGAATAAGGAAAAGTGATTTACTTATTCCCACAATATAAGAACTGGGGGTTACCAAATGAAATTAATAGGCAGCAGGTTTAAAACAAACAAAAGGAGGTTTTTCTTCACTCAGCGCACAGCCAACCTGTGGAACTCCTTGCCGGAGGATGTGGTGAAGGCTAGGGCTTCTTGGTCCTGCTGTGAGGGCAGGGGACTGGACTTGATGACCTCTCAAGGGCCCTTCCAGTTCTAGTGTTCTAGGATTCTAACAGGGTTCAGAAAAGAGCTAGATGGATTCATGGAGATTAGGTCCATGAATGGCTATTAGCCAGGTGTGACGTAGGGGGGGTGCTGTCTGCTCTGTAACCTGGTGTCCCCATCTATGATCTGTGATTCCCACTGACTCACCCACATGTGTATTAGCTCAGACACCGAGGCCCAGCCTGACCAGATAACAAGGGGAAAGACAAAGGGAGGGAGGTGGAGATGAACACCTGCTTTGGGGGCAGGGTCTGGGAGCGAGGCAGTTGCTGGCTGGGAAACCTGAAGGAAACAGCCTAAGCTGAGGGTTTAGGGGGCAATGGAGCCCCTACCCCAAGGAATCGGAGGCATCCTGGCCCTGACTCCTGTAACCACATCAGGTCTGTGCTGTGCTGGATCCTGGAGAAGCAATAAACCCCCCTGTTCTACTGGCCGCCGGCGGCTGTTCTTGCTGCTACGGGGCTGCAGGAGCAGGGGGAACCCTGACTCGCCGTCACACCAGGATGGGTAGGGTTGGGTTGGTGTCCCTAACCTCTGTTTCTCCGGAGGTGGGTGACAGGGGAGGGCTCACGTGAGGATTCCCTGTTGTGATCCCTCCCTCTGGGGCATCTGGCATTGGCCAGTCGGCAGACAGGATCCTGGGCTGGATGGACCGTTGGTCTGACCCAGTATGTTCTCACCACCCTGTCCTGCTGGGCCGGCGCCCTGGTCCCTCCCAGCCAAGGCACAGAGCTGCGATCGCTGAATCACGTCAGCTCTGGGAAGACGCCATTCCGGGAAACCAGCCCCCAATAAATCCATCTGCTGCGCGCGAGTTTCACCCACTAACAACTCATGCAGGGGAGCCCTTTTAGCAGTGACAGGCGAGTGTGCACACTGCTCGCTGCCCCCAGGGAACAGCTGGATGCTTAGGATGCGCCTGCTGTGCGCATGCCCAGACAGACGTTCTGGGGAGGTTAGGTGCCTGCAGTGTTTAGGGGCAGCTTTGTATTTAAAACTGGGGTGTAGGCTCTGTCTTTGTGTCTGTTTTCCCCCTGACCATGGGCCTAACAGCTCTGCCCTGCCTCCCAGGGTGCATGATGACACACGCAGGGATAACTGGGACGCATGCAGCCTGTGATGGGGCAAGGGGGTGGTTTAGATAGATGGCTGGACAGAAAGACAGCCCCAGCACAGGCTCCGAAGCCCCTCCCTGCCCCCTAGAACAAGTCTATCCCAGCTGTTCAGGCTGGATGGTTAACGGGGGGCACTGGGGTCTCTCGGAGGGAGGGAAAACCATGAAGCAATATGGAGGAAAACTCAGCCTGCAGCACAAGCCAGCCCAGCTGAGCTCCCAGGGACTTGCTGCGCTGGGCTGGAGCAACGTGGCACAGCCCCTGCTCTCCTGCTGCACCTCGTCCCTGGTGCCTTACAGGCATACGGGCTTCTGCCGGCATGGAGCGTCCCAGCAGAGGGAAGGAGGCAGGGGGCAGCTGGAAGCCCAGCAGCAGGCGCCAGGGAGTAGTGGAGCCAGGGTCAGCTCTGGCCTGCTGCGTTTCCCCACAGGCTGTGGGGGAGGCCCTCACCCCCCTTACAGGGATGGGGCTCAAGGAGACAGCAGGTGGCTTTCCCTGGGCTGTGCCCCGTAGACACCACTGCCCAGCCCTTGGGGCACCTGCTCTGTGCAGAACCTGGCCCAGCCAGTAGCACCACACCCCTCTCTGAGGAGAGCCTGTGGGGCCTCACACCCCCAGCTTTGTCTCCTGGGGGGCATGCAGGACGGTGCAGAGCCTCTGCTGATTCCCCCTTCAGGCAGGGGCCTGAATTCACAGGGCTTTAGCGAGCCCAGCTGGAGCAGTGCATGCTGGGAGCTCTGCCCTGTGGACTGGGGCTTTGGCCACCCCCGCATGCTGCGGTTTAGGGGTGAAGCCAGGATGGGGCTGAGCAGGGCACTGCTCAGGCCAAGGATGGCCGGAGCCGAGCACGTTCCCACGCACACGCCTTGGTTCTGCACGTGCCCCTCGGTGCCGGCCCGCTCGGTGCCTGTGTGGGTAGGCCTGGCGTGTGCGCATGCACCTCCCCCCACACTGCTCTGGGGCGCCAAGGTGCAGATTCGATGTCCTCCTGCTCCAATTAGCTGGGGCAGGGGCACCCTGTGCCCGTCGCAGCACCGGCCCCCAGCCCTTCCAGCCAGTGCACAGCCCATGGTGTCCAGCAGTCAGGTGACCTGTTCCTCTCCTGCTCCAGGCCAGGCAGCGGGTGAGCCCCTGGTCTGGGCGGGGCAGTGGGAGCACCTGTCACATTCCTAGGCAGGCAGCAAGGAGAGGGCACCTGCCCAGAGGGAAGCCCAGCTCTAGGGTAAGGGTACGAGGGGCTGCAGCTGCCCAGTGCCATTGCCTGGGGCAGGTGCAGCACAGAACCTGTGCAGCTGGCAGGACAGTGAGCAGGGGGCCAGCCAGGCTGACATCACTCAGC